TATTTAAACAGGGATTCCTTCCAGTCAACAGGAGGAAGAACCCTGCCCATGGGGCCCATCATGCCAGTCTTCCAAAGACATTCCTTGTGATTTTTCTTCTGCAGTCAGCTGAATGTGCTTGAACAACATTACATGAAGTGAGCTGATAAATGCAACTATCCTGGAAGGCTCCTGGCTGAATCACAGAATCCTTTCAAGGACATGAAAAGGCCTTTTGAGAAAATTATTTTTAATATTCTAAAGTAGTAGGGGAGGCAGGTGATTGGTACTATTAACTACCTCTAACTGAGGCAGGTATTTGCTTCTTAACTGTTCAATTAGAGACACTGGAGAAAGTTAAAAGATGTCATGAAAACTACAGTGGCTGTCCCACAGTTGAGAAGTGGCTGCAGAGGTACCTGTAAAAGTGTTATATGTCTAGAGTATGAGTCTGGACTCAGTGTTGCTTATCTGAATATCTGTCAACTTGATCTGGACTTCCTATGGATTTTATTCAAGTATAAACTGACTTCAATGAAGCTAATGCAGTGCAGCAGAACAAAATAAATCTTTGTGAATACTTTTTAAGGATTTGGGGCTCGTTTTTTCTTTCTGAACCTAATCAACATGTTCAGTATTTACAGTGTACTCACTTTTGACTTACATGGAGTTAATCCTGAGATAAGTGCTGATTCAGCAGATACTTAAGGATTTGTCTAACTTCAAACCCTTGACTATTCCTATTGACTTCAGTGTTTAATGCTTTGCTGAATTAGGGCTTTCCACTGGCCTAATTGAATCTTTGAGGATCATATCATTATCAGGGGTAAAGAACAGAAAAACACTAGTCCTTCCTCTTTATGCTCTTGCAGACCATTGTGAAAGTATTGTTTGTCTCTTTGCCCAGGTGTTGACAAGCTGGACAGCTCTCAGTTATTACAGGAGACTTATCCAGTTATTGAACTGCTTTCACTCTTTGGGCAGTGCCCAGGAAATTAAAGCGTCTCACTTTTTTTCTCCTGTCTGCATGACACAGTCAACTCCAGAGTCTATTTTCACTATCACCAAAGGTAGAAACTCTGTCTCCCATGTCTTAAATTATCCCACTGGATAATTTTCTCAGAAATTTTAACCCTACAGTACTGATAATTTTATAGGAATATGAAAAAACTCCTTTGACTTTAATAGGAGAATGTGGCAGGCCTGCATCCCACTTACTGTGCTGCTGGTGTCCAGGTAGGGAGTTCGCTGGCTGCATCGGGGGCAGAGAGAAAGAGGGAGACCCCCCAAGCCTGTGGAAGCTCTCCCCACAGCTGGCACTGATCCAGCGCAACCATACGGAGACCAGCTGCCAGGCAGCATGGCAGCTCAGACCATGGCTGGGACACCCCCCGACCTGAGCAATTACATACCGGCATCAGGGAAGCCAGGGACCCATCCTCAGGCAGGGTGCCCCAGTAAGCTGTACAATGCCACAGTTGACTAGATGCCTGGGAAAGAGAACCCAGGTATCAGTGTGGGAGCAGCCACAGATGGACAAAAGGGACCAGACCTAACCATGACTTCACCCATGTGGGACTTTCCCAGCAGGTATACCCAGGGCAGCCAGGGTGGGATGAAGGCATCTCAGGAGGTGTTGGTGGGACCCACAGAAGGAAAGAACCCACCTGAGAGCTTGGAGGAGCTGTCTACCACATTTGAATGGTTCTGGACCCAAAAATCCCTGACTGGCCAGTATCAGGATCCTAAGGGTCACATGCGCACGAGGAGACACCCCATGGGATGCTATAAGACATGGCCAGGTGCCAAGCGACCCAGGGCATTGGTGCTCTTGGGACATAATCCCAATGATCTCACAGTGGCCATACAAAGCTTGCCACACATAGGTGGGAGTGCTGAGAAAAGGCACCAGATGCAATGAGCATCATTGCCCTGTTTGCTTGGGTCACTCAAATGATTTCAGTTCATGTTTTATAACATTGCCAGGATTTTTCAGTCTGAGACCAGAGCAGTGGTCCTGTCAAAAGCCATGAAGGCAGCCCATCTGGGGGGACAGATGGTACCTGCAGCACACTCAGGTCCTACCAAGACCAAACCAGATCACTTGGGTCAAAAGGGGTGGGGTGCAGGGGAGGAGGAGCTCCACAGAAGAAGTATGAGCCAAGTCACTCAGGATAATAGAGAAACGCTAAACAATATCTTCTGGTGAAACCTCGGGTAACATCAAGTCATGGCAGATGAGCAGACCCTGGTATGGCATGCTTAGGCGGACAGGACATGCTGGCAGCAGCACTGTGAGCATGGGCCTGCCGGGAAAAGTTTTAAGCATAAAGTTTCTTTGTCTTCTGCTTCATTATTTGAACTGTTGCAGACAGGACTATGCTTCTAATACCCTGTTATTTTTTCTAAACACACACATATCATAGCCCTAGGATATCATCTTTAAAGCCCCCTTCTTAACAGAATCAGCCTCTGCTGCTGTCTTAAATGATTATTGAATAACAGCAGTGGTGGAACTGGGATGTCTGTTCCTTCCATCTTCATCCTTCCCCCTAGGGAATCATTATAATACCAAGTCCCAGAAGTATTGTCATCGTGTCAGCAAAACTAAAGACCTTGCATCTGCGGTTGCTGCTTTGCTGGCAATATAAATCCATTCCATGTTGTTTGCCAATGGAGGAGTGGGCTGAGAGATATTAGTGACTCAGAATCAGGGGGTGGGTTAAATGGTGGAAGTGGTGAGGGAGTGAGAATGACGACTGTGGCTGAAGCACTGGATCTGTTATGGAAGTGAATGTAATTAAGCTGTAATTAATGTCAGTGGGGTAGAATTGGATAATATTCCCCTTCTTTGCAGATTATGAGTTTTTTCCAGAGCCCCAGAATCCTGCAGAATTTCAGTATCAATTTCTGCAATACATCTGCACATGGCAATGTACGTCTCCAAAACAAACAAAAGAGGAGTCAAGGCTGGGAGAGAGAGGATGGATAAAACAAGATGGGTGAGAGAACCAGCTAAATATCATTGCCAATTTTTAATAAAACTCAGTGGCTGGCTCTGATTTATGAGTCCCAGGGCACTTACTAGGTAAGTGCAGCATACTAAGAAGGTTGTAACTGTTACCCAAGAAATATGATGCTGGATGGTTAAGTGATAAATAGAAACTCAAGCCACTATGACATCAATAGCTCTGTTTTTGTCACTGCTAGATTATATGTCAACATGTCATGTTTTATTGGAATTAGAGGTGAGGGGCATTCGAGAGAGAGAGAGAGAGAGAGAAAGAGAGAGAAACCTTCCAACATGTTGGGGATCTTGCCCAACAGATCTGGGATCTAAATTTTAATTAATATGAAATGAAAACCCTGCCTAGCCACAGAATTGTTATGTAGCTTCTGGAACACGAACATCATCATATTGTAATAAAAAACTGGTAGAGTCTCTGCATAGATAAGTACCAGTCTGAGTCTCCCTCCTGTGTTCTGAAATCCTGAGCCCACTGATTTTCCTGGTTGGATGCATCCTCATTTTGTAAAGCCTCTTTCTGGACTCCTGGGTTCTGAAATGAGTTCCTGTGCAGGTGCTTTTCTTGGTTGCTGTCACAGGATGATTGTGCATTTGGCACTGATGACCAGGGATCCTGGTTTTCTCTGATAAAGAAAAAATCCCCAATTTTTGGTTTAAAAAAAACTAACCAAAAAACCACATTTTTCCTTGATTAAAATGAAACACCACTATAAGTATATCTATATATTAGTGGTGTTTCATTTTAATCATGAGAAAATGTGAATTTTGTGTTACTTTTCAAATCCAAAAATTGGGGATTTTTTATCAGAGAAAACCAGGATCCCTGCTGATGATTTGGCTCACTTCCTGTCTGGAGTGCTATGTTGCCGTGTCTTGATGAGTGTGCATTTGTAACCTGAAACTTGAGATATTAGGTTGGCCTCAGGCAGTGCTTTTTTGGGATAGGTTCAGTACTTTTCTTACTGATAGGAAACTATTTTTTGCTGCATTCTGATCTCCTTTCATTCTTGCAGCAGGATTTATCTTTTACAAACCCTTCAGAGTGATGGACTGGAAAGCTGCCTGATGCTGAGAGCACAATCTTGGGGTTAGGCACCATTCTGATTAGGGGAGGCATGGACTCCATGGGTGTGTCCAGATGAGTGTGCATGTGCATCTTGCAGCATCTCAAAGCCCTTTGAGACACTGCAAGAGGCACGTGTGGGAATGAGAAAACCTGCAAATATCTAGGGGTCAAAAAAACCCGTGGCAGAAAAAAGCGGGGCAGGTTATAGCCAGGCAGCAGCCCCCACTGCCAGACTGCTGCAGTAGGTAAAGCGTGAAGGGAACTCTCAGGGCTGCTTCAGCAGTCCAGCTGGCACAAAGGGTAGTGTCCCCAGGTACCAATTGGCTGGACCCCAGAAGCTCCTGAGAGCAAGTAGCCCTGAGCTATTTGACAGGGGCCAGTACAGGGCAGCTTATTATATGGCTGAGGACAGCACAGGTGCTGGCCCCAGGCTCTAGCTCCCCCTGGTTGCAGATCCAGGAGGAGCCAGGCAGGGTTATTTTGCCCCAAGTGGCACAATTTGCCCCACACCAAAGTGCATGTCCGGGCACATGCACTAAGGCAAAAAAGCCCTGGCTCAAATTTGCACAGCTGCTATTTGAGCTGCTACAAGCACACATGCTTGCATATGTGGATGCGTCCCATGGAATACTATAACATAGTAAGGGATAATCACAGGGGCTGCAGCTACACCAGCAGGGGCTTCAGCCTCCCCACAGGGGTTACAGCCCCTCCACAGGGGCTACAGCCCCCCAACAGGGGCCATAGACCCCATACAGGGGCCAATTGGCCCCTGTAGGGGCTACCACCCCCCTGCAGGGCCCACATGCCCCACCCCTGCTTGCTTCCCTAGCCCCCCAGATTGCTGTCCTGCCTGGCCCCATCCCCCCGCCGGCTCCTGCAGTCTTCCCCCCGGCCACTCCCCCAGACCCTCCGATGGCTGTCCCACCTGGCCCCATCTCCTGCTTGCACCTCCAGCCTTCAGCTCTTAAAAAAAAGCCTCTACTCACCAGGAGTAGCAGGGGCTGTGGGGGCTTTGGAGGCTTCTGGCATAGCCTCCACAATGCAGCATGGTTCAGAGGCGGACAACGGGGACTGGGCAGGGGCCGCTGTGGCTGTCACCTGGCCCCGCACTGTTTCAGGGCAGGCCCCAGTGACCCCAATGCA